CGTCTTTTTATGTACTCAACTTCTATGCATACGAAGACACTATCCCTGTGATGGTGAAAACAGATAGTTGTTGTTATGTTTATGTGGCCCTGCATCCTCTCACTCTCATTATATGTATAAACAAAATAGGAAAGACAGACAAACAGGTGTCTGTATGTCTGTACGTATGTATGCGTCTATGTTTGTCCATTTTGTGTGTCTGTGTATCTGTTTGTGCGTGCATGTGTATGTCCCTGTGACGCTCTGTGTGTTCGGTGATTCGTTTCTCTGTCTACATGAGTGTGTGCGTCTCTATGTATGTGTCTGTCTGTCTATGTGTGTCTGTGTGTGTGTGTGCAACAATTGATGTCAACCGCCCTCTGTCCCGGTGTATCTATGTCTGTCTGCGCGAGGTTGACTATTGCGGGCCATGTAAGTGTACATCGTTGCTGTTTGATGTCGATGTGGCCCGCAGTAGTCAACCTGATGCTGTTCACCGTAACAATGCCATCCAACTGCAAAACATGTGGCATCCAACTGTCGGTCTGTCTATCTGTCTGTCTGTTTGTCTGTTTGTCTGTCTCTCTGTCAGTCTGTCGGTCTGTTTGTCTGTCTGTCGGTCTGTCTGTCTGTCTGTCTGTCTGTCTGTCTCTCTGTCAGTCTGTCGGTCTGTTTGTCTGTCTGTCGGTCTGTCTGTCTGTCTGCCTGTCTGTCTGTCTCTCTGTCAGTCTGTCGGTCTGTTTGTCTGTCTGTCGGTCTGTCTGTCGATCTGTCTGTCTGTCTGTCTGTCTGTCAGTCTGCCTGTCTCTCTCTCTTTCTTTCTTTCTTTCTTTCTTTCTTTCTTTCTTTCTTTCTTCCTTTCTGTCTCTCTGTCTGCTGGTCTGTCAGTCTGTCTGTCTATCTGTCTGTCCGTCGGACTGTCTGTCTGTCTCTCTTTCTGTCAGTCTGTCAGTCAGTCAGTCTGTCAGTCAGTCAGTCAGTCTGTCTGTCTGTCTGTCTGTCTGTCTGTCTGTCTGTCTGTCTGTCTGTCTGACTACTGCAGTTTGTCTGTCTGTCTCTCTGTCTGTCTCTCTGTCTCTCTGTCTGCTGGTCTGTCTTTCTTTCTTTCTTTCTTTCTTTCTGTCCGTCTGTCTGTCGGTCTGTCTGACTACTGCAGTCTGTATGTCTGTCTCTCTGTCTGTCTGTCGGTCGGTCTGTCTGTCTATCTGTCAGTCTTTCTTTCTTTCTTTTTTTCTTTGTTTCTTTCTTTCTCTCTTTCTTTCTTTCTTTCTTTCTTTCTTTCTTTCTTCCTTTCTGTCTGTCTGTCTGCTGGTCTGTCACTCTGTCTGTCTATCTGTCTGTCTGTGTGTCTGTGTGTCTGTCTGTCTGTCTGTTTGTCTGTGTGTCGGTCTGTCTGTCTGTCTTTCTTTCTTTCTTTCTTTCTTTCTTTCTTTCTTTCTTTCTTTCTTTCCTTCTTTCTTTCTGTCCGTCTGTCTGTCTGTCTGTTTGTCTGTCTGACTACTGCAGTCTGTTTGTCTGCCTCTCTGTCTGTCAGTCAGTTCGTTTGTCTGCCTGTCAGTATGTCTGTATGTCTGTCTGTAGGTCGGTCTGTCTCTCTGTAGGTCTGTCTGGATGTGTGTCCCTGTGTTAGACTGTCGGTCTTTCTGACTGTTGAACAGACAGTTTGTCTATCTGTATGTATGGATGACGTGCTCACACACACACACACACACACACACACACACACACACACGTTGTTGGACGCAGCCCTGAAGTTGGCTACTACGTGCCATAATCTGCCAAACGATAACCCTTGCAACACTGAATGGCCCGCAGTAGCCAACCTTGCAACAGAGGCCGAGACACACACACACACACACACACACACACACACACACACACACACACA